TTCAAGACTTGTTTTCACATGTAGCATTATGAAATCAATTTTTTAGACACCATGGGACAAGAACAATGATAAATTTCCTTTTCTAGAACAATACTGGAAATATTTAAAACAACTGGGAGGAGCCACAAGTTTCAGAGAATTTGGGAGTGAACTGCAGAATACATGTTCTTTGTCTTACTCCCTTATAGTTTTACTTCTAAATGCATCTGCTGTTATTTGTTTTGAGCTCTGAAATTGAGATATTAGTCGTACTTGAGAGCAAATAATCCTATCCATAAAAATGCAAGAAAGATATTGCCAGTCCATTCATTCAGAAACAAAATGAGATTTAATGGAATAAGGAGCAACATCAGCAAAATCTTTTAACTAGATTTAAGCGGGAAAGAAAACTAGTAGTATGGATCACTGTCACTTACATAATCACAAAGCCATCACTCACTCGATTCCTCAACGGATGGCTCCTAGCATTAGTGTTTACTCTAGATGCTACTTTCTTGCCAGCTTTAACCTTAACTGTATTCCAAAATTCCATTTGGTCAGACATCCTGTGCCACGCACTTGTCAAATTAAATAATTCACGCCATCTTACCATTACACTCACTTTTCCTTTCAGAATTTTCAGAAGTACCAGCATTGTCCTACAAGCAGGGGAACAGAAAAAGATAAATGTCCAACTTATAATCCTACTCCCGTTAAACTAAACCAAAGACCATAAATATAATATATCACACCAACCTTTGGAATACTTGCTTGTTCAGGGTTGACCTTTAGCACTGGCAGAGATTTCCTTTAAAATGGAGAGGGGAAATAGAAAATACGTCAATATCAGATGCACATCTTATTCATAGTAAATAAACAAACATGCTTTGCATATCAGATACCTTATCACCTTAAGCGAAGTATAAGAACTGCTCCTGAAAAAAAAAGAAAGAAAAGAAATCTGATCAAGGGTCTTTATACATGTTTAGTTCATAAGCATAGGAGCCTGAGAAGAATTTTTTGAACGCACAACAAAAAAAATTGTGGCACAAATTCTAATTTCTAATAAAGAGGTGGAAAACAAAGGTTGTTCAGACCTGCCATCGGTAACAACAGACTCACGGTTTAGACCAGTAGCCTTGGTCCCTTGATTCTCTGAAAGGGCCTTCAAGTCTTTAATACCTAGAGTTTGTGCATAATGGAAGATTTTCAAATGGTATTGTTTAATCTGGGAAACTATAACCACCTTTCGGATGTATTAGAGTTACCTCTCTTGGAAGTCTGTAACTTAGAAGTAGCTTGGCTAGGGCTTTCTCGCCCCTTTCCCTGATAGAAGTAACAAAATAATCAATACTTACAATTGGAAGAATATATTGCAATATATGAAAATGATTGCATTGATACTCGCTAAGCCTTTCGAGAAAAATAAAACCATCTTTGTGCTGTCAAACATACAACGGGACAGTGGAAAAAAAAACAAAGTGAGTTGACCCTTAAGAAGCAAAACATGGACAGGAAAAGGAGTTTTAAGTTTCGCAGATGTATACCCTGCTGAAGGGTTGAAAATAACTGTGAGATCTTAAAAGTAGTGGAGATAATTGACATATGAACAACATACTACACAATCATGTACATAAGAGAGTTACAAGGAAAAGGCATGCTAGGATTTAGCATTCTTACCAGGAAGGATCTTCTTGATGATAAATTCACAGTCCTAACGCCTGTACCCACTGAAACCCTAAAGAGATACAAAAAATACAATACTAGATTAATGCAAAATCAAAGGGTCTTGAGCCTGCTCACATCTTTGTTAGCATCTATAGTTATATCCATCGGTATGCATATATACCAAAAAATATTGACCTCACAAGCGCAAATAAATATCATGATATCAAATGCATACCGCTGCAAAGATTTAATTCTCTCACTTTTACCAGTCCTGCATTTAAGATAGCCCAAACTTAGAACTTCTTATCTCAAAACCCAAAATCCAAAATGGAGGAACTACTGGAGCAAATGAGAAGGTACCGACATTTTTTTAGAGGCATCAACCCCTACAATCCTAGAAGAATTGCTTTTGACATTGCTGACATCAGCCAATGCTCTTCTTCCAACATTTGCATTTGCTAAGATAAGGACAACACGAATTTTAAGAACGAACTGATTCAAGATGTGTAACTCAACTAACAAGTACAGTCTGGTTGAACCTTACCTGCCGAGTTACCAAGTATGCCTTTTCGCTTCTCCATACTTTTCAAACCAGCCTTGATAACAAAACAATTTACAGAAAGAGAGCAGTAAATATACAATTAAAACAAAAACTCCTTATTACACAAGAACTAACACTCCATACCAATCCACTGCCAAAAAAAAACAGACGAATGAGAAGGTCATTGGTTACCTTTAAAGCAGCTGTATTCTCCTGTGTTGATACTTTGTTAACTGCTGCATAAGTCCTGAAACTAAAAGGGGCAAACAAATATAATTCTCTTACAATCTAAATGGTTGCCAATAACTAAAACTTAATGTTCTAAAACAACTTAGATATTGATGAAAACCATAACATTCGATAATCGAAATGAAATCACACATGTTTAAAATTACAATTACCCGCTCCCGGCATCAGCTTTAGCAGTGTCACTTTCTGTATAAACCTTAAAACTTGCGACACCAACTGCTTAAAAAATCGAAATATAGTGTCAGAAATCAATAAATCACCACCACAAGAACTTTAAACCAGCAGAAGAACCAAGAATTGCGGTTCCGCACCACTAGAGCGTGTCGAGTTGTCTTTTCCCACCCGATTTTGTCCTACGCTGAATTTTGGCTGAAATTTGAGAAAAACCAAGCAGGTTTCGCAGATGTCAGAATCACTTTCACCCAAAAGAAACACCAGAGAAAGAAATCAAAGACAGTTAACCGGGAATCGAAAATCTTAGGCTTTCTTTCTGACCTTAGCAGCCAACATTTTGCTTCTCTCTTGAAATGTCACAGCGCTCTGTCGATGATCTAGTTTCTTGAAAGACCGAGAGAATTACAATCAATTCAAGCTAAAATTCAAAAGAAAGCAACTTCCAGAAAAGAAACCCCAAATTTCTGAAAGCTTAACCCTAATTTTTTCAAAAGAACTTCGAATTTGTATGAACAGTAAAATTCAAATTTCAAAAAGCATCCCTAATTGAATCGATCCTTCGAATAATTCGATTTATAAAGAATTAATTGGAAACGATAATTTCTTGCATAGATTCGTAGAAGGAAGCGTACCTTAAACGACGTCATTTTGGAGATAGATCTTGCTCTTCTCGGATTCTGATCTTCGGAGATGGAGAGGAATGAGATCAGTCGACCGTTGCAAAGTTCTGAGTCTTCTCCTTAAAGCGGCGATCTTTATTTTCGTTTTTTGAAATAAGGATGCGATTTTACTTTACTACCCCTGTCCTCAAATTTTTTGGTCAAAGGTACCCCCTTCTTTCCTTATTACAAACTCTTCGTTGTAAGATTTTCTAAACCAAAAAAGAAAAAGATTTGAACATTCTTTCTCACCTCATACACATTTCTCTAATCTCATAGTCGTTTCGAAGTAGACGCTTATTTTAAATTTGTAATGCAGTTTTAATATTAAACATGTTTAAGTTAACCAACTAAACTTGTTAATTTAATGATATTTCTCTTTTCAATGTTAAAAATGTCTACAGATCTTCACTTATTAAAAGAATATATAAGTAGTGTTCAATGCATGTGACAAAATCCAAAATTATTTGATTAGTGATGGACTTCCCATGTGACAAACCAAACCAAATAAGTGCTCAAAGCCTCAAACCACAAATTATAAGTTATAATTTGTTCCATAAAGTTTAAGGAATATTAGTTGTTCTCACCACCAGCGTTAGGATATACCCACAATCTCGAGCCGAAAAGACTTACGCAGGATGTACCCACAACATTCTTAACGAAGAACATGGAAAATAACAATGTAATCAAAATTATAATTGCTTCAGTTACTCCTTAGTCTAGGTTGCACCTGTAGTTGCTCCCTCTTCCAGAGTCATTCCCTTTAAACCTATCAAACTGGTTTGTGAACACTCTTACGATCCACACCAAAATGATTTAGGCTTCTGCGTCTTCGTGTTGTACACATACGAGTTTTTTTCCTTAAAACAATAGAAACTGAACTCATCACCATCAACACTCGCTGGAATGATCAAACCTTGACCTTCAGGAAGAGGCAAAAATTTATCCATAAATTTGTCTTCGTGTTGTACTATAAAAATCATATGCGTTTCGTACATTTAAATTTTGGTAAAATTGAGACTGTGATTTTGATCGGGCATAAAGAAAATTTGAGAGGAAGAGAGTAACTGATTTAAAAATGAGACAAGGAGATACACCCAGACGAAGAAAGAGCGGCAAGTCTAAAAGTGAGCGAGGATTAGAACAACGAAAGAATAAATAAGAGTCGAAAAGAGGAGTTCTAAGGGCAATTTTGTAATTTCATTCAACATGCAAATTACATTTTTGGTCATATGGTTTGACTCATTTTCCACTTCAGTTTGTGTCATTTCAATTTTAGTAAATTTACTCTAGTTTCAATTTCAATAATGTTTTTTTTTTTAATTTATAAAACGATATATTTACACTAGAGGGTAAGAGAATAAATTTGTATCAAACTTGATATTTACGAAATTCAGATATTTTACTATTGTAATACTAAGTGACTAGTAGTAATCAAGTTTAAATCATCGGTTGAAAATGATGGGTTGCTCTATTAGTTAAAGCATTCCTCTTTAACCCACTATCCCCGTGTTCAAACTCTCCCTATTAGTTAAAGCATTCATCTTTAACCCATTGCGGCGGCCCCCCGGGACAAAATTATATGCTATATGCAGCAACTGGATAACTAAAAGGTTCAAATTCAATTAACATAACAACATTCTTAAAGAAGAACATCCTCTAGAAATTAACATAACAACATTCTTAACGAAGAGCATAGAAAAATAACACTGTAATTGAAATGCTCCCAATTACTCCTCAATCTTGGCTGCACTTGTAGTTGCTTCCTCTTCCAGCCTCATTCCCTTAAAACCCATCAAGCTTGGCCTATGAGCAGTCCAACGATCCACACCAGAGTATAAGTACTTAGCCTTCTGCATCTTCGTGTTGTACACAAAAGACTGTTCTCCCTGAAAACAATAGAAACTGAAGTCATCACCATCAACATTCACCGGAATGATCACATCTCGACCTTCCTGAAGAGGTGGAAATATTTTCTCCATGAACTTCAACGGAACAACGATCTTTTTCGGGCTCCATTTGTTCTCCTTGGAGTCTTCACACACCAAGGCATGAAGGGTGGCATTTACTATCTCAACCACAGCCACATGCTTGTTCCAATTGATGACGCAAACTTTGTTCAAATCGGGAAAAACTCCCTGAGGTAGGGTTGCTGTTAAGACAGACTCATCCACCAGATCAAGGCGTTGGACTTCTAATATTGACAGATCTTGGCCATCTCTTTTCATAAACTCAGCAGAATAACAAACCCTACCATTCATCTTTTCAGCTGCAAAAAAATTACATCTCACTATCCTTCTGCCTTGTTCCTTAAGCAAACCCTGATTTGGGTGCTTCCAGGGTCTCCACTTCTCATCTTTCCCAACGGTCATAATTTGAAACCCTAATTCATTGTTCTCGACATATAAAGTTACCACTTTGATCTCACCAGTCGATAAATTGAAAGCAGATGACATTCTTCTCGCACCCTTATGAGCTTCAGGCAAGTTGAGTACTCGGCGGGTTGCCGGATTTCTGATGCGGCAAAGGTGAGTAGTAATATGCTTCTCCAGAAACATCCCAGCAACACGTCCCATGCCCTCGTAATTTGAATCAAAGTAAGGGGCTACATGGTTCCTTTCGCTTTTAAGTCGAAACTGTAGATGGATAGGACTGACCCGTTTCATGTGCTTTAAAATGAAGTTGTATTCTTCAATCAAAGAGCACCATGTTTTGCTGACGCACTTGAACCGGAGTAATGCCTCTACCGGCAACCAGCTCAGAATCTCAATAATGATTTCAAAGGGAAGCTTTGTTTCTTCTAGTTTGGGGTCCAATCTCCTCCTCCTCCTCCTACTTCTCAGGTGGTAGCCGTGCGCCATCTGCATATGTGTGTACCACAATGCTCATTGTAAATCGTTAAAATCGCTAAATCTTAAATAAATGCACTAATAGACTCCGAGTATTTAACTATTTATGCAAGTTCAATTGATCTATCTTCCCTCTTTTCTCTTTCTATCCCTTTGTCAACCCAATCTTTCTCCTATGATCCTCCCTCTAAAGTTTACCTTTTCCAATCAATCATTTTTTAGTAATGTGAGATTTTTAGTTGTTAGTTCGACTGTTTTTGGGTGTTAGGCTTGCTACTTTTGTTTCTATGATGTCTTAAGCATGGTGTACACTTAGGCTGTGTTTGGTTGGTGAGGAAAACGGCTTGGGAAAGATAAATTCTTTTCGCATGTTGTTTTTTATTTTTTTTTGAACAAACGATATAATAAATGTTAGAATATAGGGAAAGCAAACTCTTGAGGCTCTACGTTAATTTGTTTTTTTCAACATTAATTAACATTTATTATAAATATTATGACAAAATTGTCCTCATTTAATGTTGAAAGACCAATTATACCTACAATATCTTCATATTCCACTTTCTTTCCTTCAACTTTATCCCTATTAATGTATAATCTTTTTCATCCCTATTAATATATAAAAGGCTTTTTAGTTAAAATAGTCTCTGAGATTGGTATAACTTCGCAATTGGTCCTTGAGTTATTCCCTCGTCGATCATTTTCGTCATTTCAAAAAAAAATCTCTGTTAAATAATGACCAAAATTACAAAAATACTCTCATTTTTTTGTCAAATAATTTGTCCCGTTATTTATTAAATTGAGGGTATTTTTTATCATTCTGGTCATAGTTTTTTCACGGAATGATCAAAATAATTGATAATGAACAAATTCAATAACCACTTCTATTGATTTTAAATCTCAGAAACTAAAATGAATAGTTATGTCAATTTCGAAAATTATTTTAACTAAACTACCTAAATAAAATATCAGTATCTTCTAGCAGATTTCCCGTTGGTACCCAACAGTGTAATCGGGAAAGTGCATTGCTTATCTTCCTAAGAGGAACACATATAATTATCTTATAGTTATTAAATAAAAATTTTCTTTTGATACGAAAAATAAATAATCAATAAAAAACAATCCACCGCTCTCACATCAAATCGTCAACAAAGTGAAATTTAAAATATTCCTGTTTTTTAATATTTATTTCAAGCAGATATGGCCATCATCATGCTAATCTAATAATCTAAGCATTAAAAAATCAATGTAGCTAAAAGAAAGTTAAACAAAACAGAATGTAGCTTAGATTAAGGATTTTTTTTTATTCTTTTGAGTTTTCATACTAGAAAATTTCCATATTAACAATCATCAATAATCATCAATAACCAAATCTAAATGAATAACTCATTTGACTACATAAAATGTATGATTTTCGTACCTCTGACTTTTGGTTAAAATTGAGATTGAGATTCTGATCTGGTGAAAAGAAAAATTGAGAGTGAGAGACTTTTAATCTGGTGAAAAGAAAATTCAAGAGTGAGAGAGTAACTTGTCTGAAAATGAGACAAGGAGATGCACCCAGAAGGAGAGAGAAACTTCCAACTAGCGGCAGGGTCTACGAGTGAGAAAGGATTAGACCAACGAAAGAATAAATAGTAGCTGGAACGAGGACTTCTAGGGATTTTAAGGGCAATTTAGTAATTTCATTCGACACGCGCATATGGTTAAATTACATTTTTGGTCCATATGGTTTGACTCATTTTCCACTTTGGTTTGTGTCATTACAATTTATAGAATTATTATTTTTTTTACACGCAATACTATATATACACTAAAAGGTAAGAGAATAAATTAGTATCAAACTTATCATTCACAAAATTCAAACTTTTCATTTACAAGTAAAGAGATATATCACTATACTGTAGTACTAATTAAGCGGTCAATTGTTATCAAGTTTAAATCGTATATTCTTTTAAATTATAATGTGAATTTGTGAAGACAAACTAACCATGTCTATTGTCTAACCAAAGTGTGTCATGTTGATATGAGCTCAAGGTGTCTAGATTACCCTTGACATCGTAAGCAGACTGCTATCTCAACCCTAATGGACGAAGCAGACATCATGTCCCTCGAACAGAGAGATGCGTCTACCCCTCGCAACTCTGTCCGTAGGGCACCTAAGCATGCATGAGAATGCTCTACTGAGTCTCTACCATGTCAAAGTACTCTCCCGCCTGATTCCATGTTCGCCAAGATTATCTCTTGCATGTCTGAGTCCAGGAACGAGTCAATGACCTCTAGATAACTCTGCCTAGGCTGGTCATCTGCAGAGGGATACACCCTCCGCCCGGTAGGAAGACTGCTCTGCCCGTCAACTTGCCTAGCCTTTTTTTTTTTTTTTTTTCCACAAACGATGTTATCTACACTTAAAATGGTGGAAGAGTAGGCTAAGCCTCATAATAGGCTAAAAGTAATATAATTCAAATTCAGTAATAGTGAGAATCGAACCTAGCTAAGACCTCTCACTTACAATAATAAGTTAAAATGAATACCACTAGACTATTGTACTAAGTGACATCAACTTACCTAGCCTTGCAAGCTGATGATTTATGGACTTCTTCCTCTATATATAGTCGAGTCACGTAAAGAAAGTGATAACGAAAAGTTGAACTCCGAACTATCTACTACATTCAATTTCCCTTAAATACTTTCCGAGTTAACCATCCGAGACCCTTTGGCAAATTGATCTTACAATGTTATTTGTTATGAAAATTTTTCGGTCAATCCGTCATGGCAATATGCAACCACCAAATGTGAGGACATTTTGGGAACTGATCCCCTTATGATTCAAAGGAACTGAGCCTACTCATCAAATGATCTGGACCATTCAAATTTGACTCAACGACTATAAACAGGGGTTCCTCTAAAGTTATAATAATTGTAACCATTTGATCAAATTTCAATAACCCGAATGATTTGATCATTGGGCTCAGTTTCTTTGGGTCCGAAGGAGATCCGGTTCCGACATTTTGTATCTCCAAAACAGTTTCAATCATCCCAAAATTGTAAGCGTCTATATATTCTGCTTATTAGATTTGTACGATCTTATTATTGATTAATTGAACAAAAGTAAAGGACTAGATGGAGATAAAAGTTAAAATGGGTCAAAGTATAAAGATCGATAATGTTTCTTTATACAGAAGGAAACATTATATTGGCATCAATAGGAGTGATCCAATTCCTTATAAGTTGTTACATTTTTTTTAAATAAAATTTAATGTGGGACAATTCTTCGCATCCTCGTAAGACTACATGTTAGTGGTGATCTAAATGGTGATCTATTATAGATTGAACTATGGAAATAGTTGCAATTGCATCAAGAACAAATCGACTGAGACATACAGAATGCTGCAACAATGTAGATTAAATTATCATTCAACGATGAAGGATGAATACAAATTATTGTCTTAAGGCTTGAAGAATAAACCAAAAGGAATCCAATAAAAGAATCTTTATTTGAAGTTTTGAACATCAAAAAACACTTGATGAATCAAAACTTCCCTAATAAAACCAACAATTCAGACTGCAACCATATTAGTTATTGGTTTCTCCTCCTCTTCATATCATCTATCTTAGAATCCACTTTCGCTTTGAGACGTTGCATGAAAGCCTTATATTTCGGTAGTTCCTCTAGTCCCCAGTTTTTATGTGGCGCAGGCAACAACAGCTTGATCTCTTCCACTTTCTCTCTCTTTCTTGCGTTCCAAGTCTTCGTCGCCATCATCATCGTCATCGTCATCATTACCATCATCATTATCATCATCATGACGTTTAGATGAAGTTCCTTCACCAAGAAAGCGATCCAAGACCTTGTTCACAGAGGGGATTCCATAGGCGTAGGGCTAGTTGTCCCGTGATAAGACGACAACAGCCATCTCGGAACCAGGCTGCCAGGAGCAAATTCTTCGGCTTCACGAAACAAAGCGTCGTGACGCTCCGAGAAGGTGGACTTTAGGCAGTTCTTGCTGTTTATCTTCTCCATGTCGATCTTCCTGCTTCCGATGAATGGATTGTAGATGTATACAAGAAACGTTTCTTCTTGATCTATAGAATTTGCTCAAAAGAATGTTGTGACTTGTGAGTACCACAAAGGAAGAACTAGGGTCTCTATATATACACGACAGCTTGCCTGTAATTCATGAAGAACTAGAGTTTCCTTTTCTTTGGATTGTCATAAGTCAGCAAAATATGGAATTGCCATTTTTTTTTTTTATTAAATTGATTTATACAATAATATCATGCTTACCATTTTTCTTCTTATTTAATACAAACAGATAATACTAGGAAGACCATCTATTACGACACATTACATAATTTGTAAATTTAATCTAAAAAAATGATCTACCTAGGATTACTGGGTACAAAAATAACTAAAAGGGGTAACCGAACCCTTTTTTTATTCGAGAAAGGGTAACTAATAATGGAGGAGTATGACATCATATTTCCTATATTTTGGAGTGTCTCTTAAGCCAACCTGACAAAGAAGAGATTTTTCAGTGTGATCGTCACACGAGGTGGTACACCACGTATCTCTATATAAATGGTGGGATATGTGTGTTAAAAAGTTAATAACTTAAAAACTAAAATTTCTCACCACTTACATAAAAATACGTAGTGTACCACCCGTGTTCCCGTCACAACTAAAAACTTATCCCAACAAAGAAGGGGTTATGTGACCGACTATTACTTGGCAATTTGGCTTTTGTTTATTCCTGAATTTTGGATGGAAGGATGTAGAGAAAAAAAATCAAGAAACAAAAATGACTAGGGTATGTAAATTCATTTAGTATTATGATGGTATATTTCTCCACTTGTATAGGAATTATCAGGTTCGAATCCCAAAAACAGTTAACTTGATGACTATAGTTGACCTATTGTGAGATTTCAGCCGAAATTTCTCTCGTTGTACAAATAAGAACATCATAATGTTTGATCCAAAGTCGTGGACTCGTGGTTCATCTTCAACGTTCAACCAATAACTTGATTTTCTCCGTCATAAGCGAATTTTGTTATTGATGCTTTGGCCTTAATTGATCAAATTAACATATCCATTCAAAATTCAGATTTCTATAGGGCCATCAAAATTGTTATCCAGCCACAGCAACATACAAAAACTGCGATTACGAACCATTTACGCAACCAAATTAGTCTCAATCTATAGCAGCACTGCCAATTTGCCAGAAGATATTAAGCTATAGTCAGTAGATTACAACCATACCAAAAACTCCTGCGTTTCGACAGGAGTAGTAAATCGCTCATCTAACTTGGCCCTAACCCTAAAGCTAAAGTATATCACCAACCTCTTACACTTTACGAGCCAGGGTCCTCTGCTTGGTCGCGTGCTGTACTACTTTTTCCTCTACAGGAAGGCCCTTCTTCCGTCTTACGGCGTTAATTAGTTTCCTTGCAGTATTGGGAAGCATACTAGACCCGTCACCAAACTCCTCAATTTCTTCTTCTGTTTTTGGTACAAAGAAAGGATCTTCTGGAAGTGCTTCCCAGTGACTAAGCACAAGAAGAGCACTTGCAGCACCAGCAGTCCATCTTCTAAGCTCATCTGCAAAACCAAAGCTTTCAGAAACTGGCACATATGCATGCACAGTGAACAATGGGGAGCCTTCCTGCATTTCCTCCTTTAAAACTCTAGCCCGCCTTCGCCCAAGCACAGCGTACATAGAACCCAAATGCTCAGTTGACGTATTCAACTCACAGAAGTACATGGCCTCCACAAGCCGTGGCTTCTTTTGAAGTACAGCTTCTCTACAAGCATCTTTGATGGTTGTCATTACCTGTCCTCTGAAGATACCATATTGCTCAGGTTGGTGGTGGAGGCTTCCCCTTCATCAGACTGAGCCATCAATGGTTCAATTTTAGCCTCGATAATAAATGCTAAACCCCGCATAGGTTCATCGCATAAAGGTCCAGCTGCTGTCGCCACTTGAAACCCAGATACTACACTACTTTCAAGGCTCTCCGCCTCAACTAACAATGCTTGAGCTACTTCTGAAGATGTATCAGCAGGTGTATTGCCAATGCCAGAAGTATCCACAAACCCTAATTTTTGAGATACGTGAGAGGAACCGCAGATGAGGACAGAGCCATCTGAACCCTTTCCTTTGAGGTCTGGAGTAAGGAGGATATTAGGACCTACTTGCGAAGGGCCAAGCGCCCATATCCTTTTAAGTAATTTTTGCCACTTTAGTTTACACTTCTCAACCCGATGCTTGTCGTCATCACCACTAGACAGAATATCACTCTCCACAGCATCCATGATACGTTTCTTCAGTGCTTCAATCGGGTTCTCATCTTCTGCAATCCTTGAAATCTCTGTGTCAAAACTTTTACTGGTCTGAGAAGCTCTACCTCCAAGGATATCTCCAAGTAAATCAGAACTATCTTCAAGCACCTTAGTTAAAGAGGGTGGGAGCTTTATGACTTGCACCTTTATCGTACACCTACCGTTTGCTGTCTTTTTCTCAACATAATCTGAGCTTGTACGAAAGAATTTCAAATTCTCAAGTTTGTCGGCTACATTACCCTCAATGGTCTCTTTATAAGACACAAGAGGTGGAGACACTTCCAGGCTTACCCTTGCAAATCTCTCCTTCAAATCTTTTATGCATCTTTCAAGATGCACCTCTCCTGCAGCAGACAGCACATTTTCTCCCCTATCAGAAACTGTTACCCCAACAAATGGGTCAGCCCGGTTCAGCAGCCGTAAACCCTTAGTCAGTGCACCCATATCTGCAGGATGAGTTGGCTCAATTGCGACTCTTAGAGTAGGAGCAATCTGGAATGCCATACTGGAGAAAGGCCAACAGTTTTTTGTCGATGAAAGTGTTGCACTTTTCAGTATATGCTGGCCAAGGCCTCGAATTGCCACAAGATTCCCGGCATGGGCAGAGGCCACATGTGTTAAGCCTTGGCCCATCATGAGATACAGAGATTGCAACTCAGCCACCTGCAAATGCTTTTTCACTGACTCCCCTTTTAATGGATCATACAAGCCGAAAGGACAAAAATTTTCTGTCCTGAATAAAGAACCCCACTAAAGATCCTTGCAAATGCAAGGAAACACTCATTCAATTCACCCTCATCACTTACTGTTGTTTTCAATTTCCCCATCTAATCCCCTATGTGGAAGTACTTTCATAGGGACAGCAAACATTTTGGATACAAAAGCAACACAGGGAGCTTCAGGGCTTGAATCACAAGCTTCAACGGATTTCCTCACAAGCTCCGCCTCTGCAAGCGCATCCGAATCAACCCCATCACTCAAAACTTGTCTCTTTGGAAGCAACCGCCCTATCCTAAACGCCTGTGCTGCAACCGGGTCAGGCATACACCTCACAACCATCGACAAAACAGCATCTGCAAGCGGAAGCCAACGACTCATCACTGCTTGAAGCACAACCTTCTGATCCTTGTTCTGAAGCTCACGAGGCGGCACATTCAAATTAAAGGACTTAATAACTTTCTCAAGCATCACTTTCCCACCGCCATCATCGTCCAAAGCGGCCTGATAAACCTGCCAGAGCGGCTCAAGCACAAACTGAACAAACATTGGCCTAGCATTTTTCATACCAGCTACACCTTTCTTCCCCACAATCATCTTGGTTTTCGGATTAAAGTACCTAGGTCCCCACAAAGCCTTTGTCAATGCTGCCGCACTCACCCCAAATTTTGAAGCGTAAATCTCAGCAAACTCACTAATGCAGAAACCCCAACCGTCCAAAGCACACACAAACGCCACATTCCCTTTCTGGGGTTGAAACGTATCTTCCTCATCATCCTCCACATCCAAAAAGCTCAGATTTTCATCACTACCCACATCCCCCGCCGGCCCAGAAAGTATAGCATCCACGTCAGACAAGTATTTCTCGCTCTTATACGCACTCACAATCCAATTAACCTCATGAACAATACGCACTAACCTCGTGTAAGCTTCCATGGGGCTCAATTTCAGCTCGGAGATCAGCCGGTCGATCTTGTTCAGCACCAAGCACGGCGTCAGCTTCTCAATCCAGGCCTGGCGCAACACGGCGTGCGTCTGGATGTGGACGCCCTCGACGGCGTCGACCAGGACCAGAGCGCCGTCGCTCAATCGGGCGGCGGTGGAGACCTCGCTGCAGAAGTCCATGTGGCCCGGGGAGTCGATGAGATTGATGGAGTGGTCTTTGTAGTGGAGCGCAATCGAGGAGCTTTTCATGGTGATGGCCCGCCTCTGTTCCTCGTCGAGATAGTCCATGAACCGGAGGCGCCCGGCGAGTTTCGGGTGGACGACGCCGGAGCCGGTTCCGGCGATTAGGTGGTCGGCGAGCGTGGTCTTGCCGTGATCCACGTGCGCCAGTATGCATATGTTTCGGATGTTTCGGGTGTTATCGGCCATTGGAAGAAATATGAGAGCCGGGAAATCGAAGGTTTCGGATTCTTTTTTGGAGCAGACGACGACGATGGCTTGGCCGCGCTGCGGAGGAAGTTCTCTGGTTTGTAGCAATTAGGGCTTTGATAAACACGTGTTCTGAATACGGGGGTTTTTCAGTCGTTTAAAGGGTAAATCTCGTATTTAACTCAGCCTTTTTTTCAACTATTTTCTTTTAGAGGTTCGATCCTCACGAAATAGAAATGACGGAATTTTTTCACATCGACGGATTATTACATAATACATTACTTCTTCATGATGAAAAATTACATTTCAAACGCAATATTACTACTCTAAGCAGCAACACTACCACTTTAACCACTAACCGTCGTTGTATACAACTACTTTAAGCATCATGTTTACCACTTGGTGCAAACACATCCTTAAAAATTCTCCGCCAACATCCATTAGCAAACGTTTTTATTAGAAACACGTTAATACTTTCACTGAAAACACCCTTGATGCTTATCCAATGAAAAGTGAAAACTAATAGTTGAAGAAAAACATAATTCTTTATTTCTTAAGCGACAAGGTACATAGTCGGAACTTGAAGATCTTGA